ATACTCTCAAGTGAGTCGTTTACCTTTTTGTGGACTTCTAGATATTAGCGCCATCTGCAAAGATCAGTGCTGTTAGGTTAACTTCATCTAACAGGTAAATAATATATATCAGGAACAGGAGTGAACTTATATTGTTCCTTGTGAAATTCCTGATAATGGGACCCACCCACCAAATGAACTTTATTTACCTTGGTACGAAAAACCCTTCCCGCTACGAAGTTTTGGATCCAGGAGTAACAGGCGTAAGTAAATTAAGTAAGTTCTGCTCTACTAACAGACCCAATCATAAAGTTGTAGATTTGTTATTATGTAACTACATAATCTATAGGATCTTACATGGAAGTGACATCATCGTCTACCATGATTCATCGCGTTGTAACAATCATCAATACATGATGAGAACACATTTAGGCTAAAGATAGAACAATATATATAATAAAGTTGAAAAGCAGTTACATAGGTATGACCACACCTGCAAGGCCGAGCCATGCCATCCAATCAATATAAATTAATTGTTCCCGTTTTCTCCTTCGTTGAGTTTTTCTCCGCGTCAGATATCGAATATCTATTTTCCCATTTGTCTCGTATTCAGCCTTGAAGATTGTGTGGACAGGGCCCAATGGCACTACACTACTCTCTCATCATAATCAATGTGACATTGGTTCGATACCAAATTGAGTAGGATTGCCCTGCCCCGGAGGTTATCAAGAATAATAGGAACTCTCCGGGTATTGACAGGCTAAATGACAAATCAAAAAGGCGGCAGCAACTGATCGTGAAATACATGTAATAATTTTTAAATGTCTGTTTTAATGCTTAACACACTTAAAATGAAAATCCACATGAACATTATTTATACGTCAAATATGGCGGGACTATAACTATGAAGAACAATTTAGTATAGAGATATTTTAACAATTCACATCAAAATGCATAGTAATAACATTTGGTTAATGGCTGAAGTTGTAGGCCGTATAAGTAATTTCGAAATGTTTGGTCATATTCTTAACACGCCAAAAAATAGAAGACTATGTGAAGATTATATAGGAAATGAACCAAGTGGGATTATAAAAATTAAGAATGATTCCGTGCATAGATATGTAGTGTGGGGTCAAGTCGTTGTTGACTATGATCACCACTACAATAAGACTACGTGCTAGTTAACCGATAAGATCCCCAGTAATCCAAATATCAGAAGGTAGTTGATGGCTGTAGTCGCGATGTATTTGTTGGCGATCTCGTGGTATCGAAAGAATACCGAGATCGTGCCAAAAAAGTACAAGTGTGGTTACTGAGCGTAACTGAACTCGTGCTAGGTCACAATCAACGGAAGAAAGTATGTCTTTAGTACAGTTAAACAAACAAGTACAGTAAAACAATCACTTGTACAATTCGTTATAATAACAATCGTTTCCATTAAACCAATCGCGTTCTCTTGATAAAAGTAGGTCACTACAGATATTCCTACAAATCGCCATAAGATGCGTACTAATAGCCGTATGTTAATAGCATTTCGTGTTTAGAAATATTAGAAACAATCAATGTTGTAGGGATGTTAATACTAGTATTATTCTTGATTCAAATTATTAAGTCAAATAACGTTCATGCCGGCTAGCTGTCCATATGAGTTGATTTCCAATTACATCTGCATTAGTAGGCTAACTGGAAGAACAAAGGTATTGCCGTAGAGAAGAATTCCAACTAGTGTTCCAGTTAGTTTGATACGGTTTATTTAGTTACGGAGAGATTTTCTCAACCTCACTTTTACTTGACCGTGATAGAATTTAGTAATACTACTAACCCATATGAATGGTTATCAAAGAAATTTTTAATACGTGAAAAGTGATAATTCTGTGAATTTTGGACAGATAACTAAAAGGAATTCGTTAAACATGAGTGTATCCGTGAGAGACAGGCTCTAGACTCAATGTTCTGATCTGCCATAGACTATTTATTTATATTCATACCTTCTGACTGATGGTGCCTACAAGTTGGTTGCAAGTATTCAGTTTGGCATCAGGCGGAATACGACTTAATTGATATAGTGATTATAAGTTTTTGGAATCAATTAAGCTTTTGTGCCGCAATTATAGGTGATGTGGTGTTGCAAGATATCTGAGGTTAAATAAGTCTTTACAAGATGATTAACAGTGGGTGATTCTCGTGTGATTATCAGGAAGAACATAAGTTGCAACCGAGGGGAGTACGCTCCCAACTCATATTTATGATAATGGCTTGAACTTTAGTCAGTGTTGGGTTAAATTCGACAGTTTTCAGGAGATTTGATCGACTGTTTATACTGATGGTTTGCATGCATGATTGTGTCGCTAAACTTCTAATTGGACTGACAAAGTTTTAAGATATTTATTGGATGAGCAACCGACAAACACTGTAATCATCTGTAGTCGATGAAGATAATATCTTTGGAACAGTATTGCATTTGTGGTAATTCTTGAAGCAGGTAATATTCATAATTCAGTCAGTGAAACGCAACGTAGAATATTAGTTTACTTTTGTTCGTCCTAACTTCTGTTCAATATGCATCTCCGAACGCGTCCGGTTTATGAATTAATTTTGGATGGGCTGAAGGAAAACCAAGTATTCTTTAAAAGAAAGAACTACAGAACACCGACAACCTTATGAAGAGCATCTATCTGAACGGTCCTCAAACTAAGAAGGCTATGGTAATAGACAATCTAGTTTTCAAGTCCCCTATTTGAAAGTTAGTATATTAAATCTATCAAATTGTGATGGACACAGTGAAAACAAATACAAGAACCCTCCCCAATCTTCGATTCCTGACCAATATCCTACTATTTTCATGTATTCTTGTTTCCGTTCTTGCTGTGTTTACAAAGATAATTTAAGTGATATTCAAGCCCAGATTATGATGGGGGGAATTATTTTATAAAAATGATGGATGGAAAGCAGAAGAATGATAACGAAATACTAATGAAAATTTCATCTCCAAAAGTTACGTACACCTTTTCTTATTTGTAAATGTAGGTGGAAACAAACGTTGAAGTACTTAATATTTTGGACGACATAATCCGTCTGCAAGTTGAGGTCTCCAGATTTTCAGCTCATGTAAATTAGTATAATGATAAACAAGACTTCTATCTTATAAGTGAAGACCTTCAGTAACATGCTATACTCAAACGCTTTCTCCTCTACATGGTTCAATACCTGATGTTTTGGAGTGAAACTATCAGAGAAAATCTAATTTGGCAATTTCCTTATGTCCTCAATTAGACAAAATTGTGAAGTGAAAAAGATCAATGAAAGTTACCTGTTAGTTTAAATTTAGATGTTACACGTAGTTCTTATACGCCTTGACAAGGAATAGAGATCTACGTTAAAGCCGATAATTTCAATTTACAAAACTCTAATTCACTCTGTGGACTAATTTTCCTAGGTAATCTGACGACACTTGACATTTTAAACTAGTTCTCGAAGAACATTTGAAAAGTATGGTCCTTGTTATAGGCAATATAGATGAGAACCACATAATTATATTCAACAGTATTACTTTTATATCTGAATGCGTGTTTAAGGAAGGGTAGAATGATATGCAAACTACCTAAAGAAATTGCCAATTAGAATCTCTGAAATAAGCAACTGGTTAAGAGAAAAAACTTTGAATTCAAGTGATGGCTTCTACGTTTTCATGGTCAGTATTACAGATGAGGTTGGGGATTTGAGAGAGATGGCTTTGGTGTTAATGACTATCAAGTCTGGCACCCACTGACAGTATATACAATACAGGAAAGACTACGTTAAAGAAATAAGAACAATTCTATGGGCAGAACATAATGTGATTCAGAAACTATATAAACTGAAGGAAAGTACTAACAATAATTACCATCCCTGTTTACACTCTATACACTCATCAACACCCTTTTATCGGTAAAATGCTGTATCTCGAAAATTAACGACATTTTAGTGACCTTTGATAGACATTAACTTCATACCCCTACAGCAATCGTATTAAAGAACATTATGACAGTATAATTAGACTACTTAATAAGATACGATAGAAATTACATATAAAGCTTCAATGAACCATTAAAATATGTAGTGATCTCTTCAGTGAAGATTTCTCTGACTTAGAAGCGTACGTATTACAAAATAGCATATTAAGAGAAAACCAGGACAACAAACATACCAGCAGAGAATAATATTGCTAATGGTTTAAAGCTATATAACAAATGCGTGACATCTGAGCTATATTAATTTGAGTACCTGAATAACAAGTTTGAGTATTCTAAGAAACTCAGGTAAAATGTTTCCAGTTTAGGGTACACCACTTACACTAAGCCAATGGCTTCACAGATTGCTGTCGTCGTTAAATTTGATGATTAAGGAAGTTGTAGCAGTCGAGAACGTACTTTGTCCGAATGACTTAAAATAACATAGACATTGTCTTCCCTTTAATTTTTAGGAGGGAATTCATAATTCCTTCATAGTTTGAAGCAGGTATTTATAAAAATACTTTTTTACTGACACAAATAAGCAATTTTTGAATACTTTAATAATAAATAGAAATGCGATTCAGAGTACTTGTTTCAACCTTTTTACTAATTTGCCAGCTATGTACTAGTAAATCTGACGGTGAATTGAGCCTAATTTTCATGATATGAAATCGCAAAACATGATCAACCAAGCTGCGACACCCAAGCCCTTGTTCATAATATAGATTATTACGACCTGACCTTTGCTGACACTGACTCCGCCTGTAGCTCCTTTAGAGTTACTGCCGATCCCAAGCCCGGGTAAACGAGGGGGGTTGAGCATGGGATTAGTGACCCCATCTCGTAGAAAACTAACTCGCCAAAAAAACGCTAACCAGAGTGCTGGCGGGCGGTCTATGCTCCTCCACGAGGAGTAACAGGCGTAAGTAAGTTTGCTGACAATGGATTACAAGATCGAATTTTTTTTATCACATCACAGTACAAAATTCAAGTTATATTAAGTAAAGTAAAAAATTATACAGATGAATATTAGGCTTTAGGAGACATTATATTTCTTGTTGTTATACTATCACCAGTAGATGTTTTGCTTTCATCGATTAGATTAGTAAATGTAGAACAATAACCAGAACTAGCATTTGTAGCTAAAAGTGAAGAAATACATTGATCAAATCGATATGCAGCTGATAATTTATCTGGTTGAATAGGTGTTCCCGGCTTATAAAATGGTGAACACACCAAAGCAATATAAGCGGTATGCAAACGCTGAAACATTGCTCGAACATCAACATCTCGAAGATGTGTTTGATGAACTGATACATTCGATTGGGTTGACTGAGAAGACAAAACATGTGACTCAAAAATCATGATAAACTATAAGAGAAAAAAGGTAAAATTGCAATTTAAATAAAAATATGATTCTATAATAAGGAATGGTTATGCATTTTTAACAACAGTAACAGTTTAACTTGCAATAAAGGATCTATTTATACATAAAGTACTGAATAAAGTGAGTAGTATTACTAGTTTAAAAATGGAGCATACTCAAGTGAGAACCTGATCTGACAATTTCAAACTTAAGTCTTAAATTATCCAATGCTTTCTTCTAGAAAGACAAGGTAGGATGTCAATCTGTGCAGAATAAATCCAGTTTAATCTACAGTTAGAATATGAACATGATTTTCGAGGCGTGTTTTGATGATATCATCTAAAAACACAAGTAGAACTTTAAAATCCCCCCCCCATCTTGCTCAGTGAGTGAAACTCCTTTGAAATCTTATTTTTGAGCTAGAAATCATGCTCCACAATGTAACCTGAGCTGGATGGCTTTGTTCAAACCATCCAGCGCAGAGAACGAAACTGCACCAAAATCATTCACCTGAGCAACAAATTTTCTACACCATTCACAGTGTATCTGACTAATGAAATCCCTTACATTCGTTTTCAAAAGACAAACATTTAAATACTTTACTATGATGGGTATAGCCAATAAGATCAGAAAAAATACACTACAACTACATTATCGATAAACTCTAATATTCTCTTATGTAAAAGTAATTTAGTTTTATAAATTGATGAAAACGAACATTCAAATCTAGCTCATGTATGAAAGTATTTCATCGATTCACTAGCAGGGTAATTAGAATACATATTTCTATGCCAATCTATATACATTCCTACCATTATGAATGTAAATTGCCGTAAAATTTGCTTTAAAAACTAACAGTTTATCCTTGATATTACATGGAAGGAATTTGAATAAAAACATAGAATATTTCTTATTTTTGCCACAAAATGAAAACAAATATTCAGTCAGTCAGTCAGCTACAACGTAGGACCAGGCACATATATGCATCGGTCCAAGTTGCCATACCTCATTAACACAACAAGATGGACACCGGATCCATAAAAGTATTTAATTCAGAGGTGGTAATATACAACAGAAAGATTGTAATAAGGATATAGTACAGGAAGAAGGAATTAGTTCGTAGAAAGAAAGGATATAACGGTACAACGTCATGGATGAGATTTCACCAAAAGATTTGCAGATATGCATCCGTATGTAACTCTGCCTGTATCTCCTTTACAGTTACTGCCGATCCCAAGCCCGGGTAAACGAGGAGGGTTGAGCATGGGGTTAGCGACCCCATCCCGTAGAAAACTAAATCGCTAAGAAAACGTTAACCAGAGGTGCTGACGGGCGGTCTATGCTGCTCTACGAGGAGTAACAGGAGTAAGTACGCATCCATATATCTTAACTTTGTTCAAGGTACATGTAGAAAGTAAACAGAGCTGATAAACTAGTTGTACTTGTGCTGTGACTGATTTAGGGTACATAGCAATCTCCAAATTAATGTGACCATTTAAATAGTAGTTGAATGTTCGAGTTTTTAAACCATAGTTACTAAATTTATGTAATAGATGTATTAAGAGAAAAAATATCCTGAAACATTGCTTCAAGCATTCTAGATTAGTGAATAATGGTTAGTTCAAAGGTGAAATCACGTATTCCACTAACAAGTATTCTAGTCAAATATTGGCTTTTGAATTCATATGGAGTCCACGAAAGTATTGATGTTTGGCAAATATATCGTCCTAACGTTTCGCCTAAGAATTTGATAAGCTTTCCTAGAGAAACAAAAACAATTCAAAATAGACGGTCGGGTGGGCCCCAGTATCCTGAGGGAACAAATGGTGTATGAGCCAATTATCGGTCGTCGGCTACAATCGGAGTGCATCGCCTTGTGGATCAGAGCTTTATGTCAAATGCTCCGGGTGTGGCCCCCTAAGAAAATCACCTGCTTCGGTTTGGGTGCCCGGTTAGTATCACAGCCCTCACACATAACAAATGATATTTGTGTGGCGCATATGTATCTAATGCCCCCTTGTACCTATATCTATGTGTCCAAATAAAATAAAGACATAATGTCGGGCGGAATCCTAGGAGTATTTAATTTAAGCTTCTGAAAGCTTTACAGATATAATTTGCTTTTTATATACTCGGCATGAAATTTTATTTGATATCCTAACGTTTATACAGACGATTTTGTTTATGAGAAACCCAACAATAATATTGCGATAGGTCTGAATAGATATAAAAACGTTAGGAAGCAGCTACATTCACTTAATATTTGTGAAAACTACTCTTAAAAAGTAAACAAATATACAACGATACTGAAATTTGTGACAACTCCGTCTTGCATATTACACGTACTTTGATCTTTGTATTAGTCACATAACCATAAATTCTGTGGTCCTCCATTGGATATAGAAGTCCCAGGTATTGTTCTAGTTGATCGTGATTACCACCAGAAGTTGTACGTTTGGATAATTTGTCTTCGATAACATCCAAAGCAGAATGTGCTTTAAAGTGGTAGAACAAAGGATCAGGACACTCGGCAGTTCTCAAGTAAAGCAATTGGTTAGTATCGGAAATTACTACCACACATGCAGCCATTTTCAACGTGTTTATGATTGAGATAAAGATTATTAAAGAAAATATATCATAAAAAAATTAGAACTCGTAGATTTTAGCCTTTACATAACATGAAGGTTCGATTATTTAGCCTGCAGAAACAAATAGTGGATGCAAATAAGTGAAAGAAATTGTTAGTTTCGAAACCAAGAATATTGGTATAAATCACAAAAATAAATAATTATGTTGAAAAAGTCTTATGGCCAACATTTCACAAACAATAAACCACTTGCTGAATACAACATTCATACGATAAACCATGCGTATGCACATTGAGCGAGCTAATATTTAGTGAGGTGTAGTAAAGACCTAGCATAATTTAGAATGATTGGAATAAAATGTTGTATTTTACTCAGTTCAATGGTGCATAAAGCAAAATTCAGTTACTACTCATTAGTTAGTGCATACTACCCAATATGGTTATAGAGTTTACTACACTATGAAAGGAAAATCGGGAATGAACAAGGTTAAACTTTAATGGATTTTATTGCCACAGAGACCAAAGAGTGAAGATTGTCTTGTTTTTTTTTCAATTTTGACTATCAGTTGTACTTAAACAATTTAGCGGAGGGTTAGATTTTATTAATTATATTCAAGTTACCAAACAATCAGCTCATTAAACTGCTTTGGGAAAGAAATGAACATTCTGAAATCCACCTTCATTGAAAAGAGATATTCAATATGATTTATTGAGAAAAACATGAAGGGGAAACAGCCGTCACAGACCAAATGTACATTGGCGAAGAAAATTACATAACATGAATCAAGAGTTTAAAAAAATATCGTGCTATACCTAAAAAATGTTTCTGGAGAACGATTAGAAAGATATTTGATTAAATAAATCTCCGTACAATATACTATGGTTGTCCATCTGTGTGCTTCCTGTTATATGATAATCAAGAACGACTAACCAGTTTTATGTGCATAAACCAGTTCAACTGTTCCTATTTAGCTAAGTACCTAGTTCGTTTTCAAGGCAACTTGTTTATCGCATCTGAAAGCATCTACCAACATAGTCTAGCAAAGGAAAACATAGGTTACTTACATCTACTCTTCAACATGTAGCAGGTTCAGTCTAAAATGTGTCATTTGACATCATTTTCAGGATCCATTAAAAGCTTACGAGAGGTTCACGCTTTACCCTGGTCTATGCTGCGGAAGCGTAAGTCATCTGTAAATCAAAGCTTTTACTTAAAAACACTTAAACTCTTTTCATTTTATTCGACTATTACTACAAAAATTGTTTTCACCCAGAATTCTTGGTCGATATTCATATTAAGTGACTTATATTTCGGTTAATGACACATTCAGTTTAACTTAACTACTATAAATTTCCATAGTATCATAAATTCTATCTTCCATAATTATTTAGGAAGTCAGCTTATGATATATATAAGTAATATGTTCACCGAATGTAATCAAAGAACTGAACAATTACCATTGGATGTACCATAAGTTAGCAAAATTGAGGTTTACAAACAACAAATTAATATACTATCCACAATATTTTGAAACCAACGGGGAATTTACAGACCACAATGAAAATGATAGAAGACAGAGAATGAGAGGAAATCGAACACTGCTATCCGAAAATCCAATGAAAGGTTGAGTATTGCAGGTCGCAATCTCATAGCTTCTGCTTACTTTATGTGTACTAGACAAAAATGAAATCGAAGATGGGTGGTGGCAAGCAGTGGAATCCAGGACGCACGTTTTGGTCTTATTTGGGGTTCGTCAGCTGGATATACCTGCATCCATCTTTGTTTAAAATGCTTATGACTTAAGGCAATATCGAGGCAGTCTGCACAGGATGCACAAATGCCAATGAGAGACTGGACGATTACAGTCCTAACCATCAATGGGAAGATTCAAACAAACTATACAAAATCAATTTAAAAATGAAGTCGGTTGATAACGTGTAATATTGGCCGGAATAGAAGTTGAAAGGAACCTAAGGGCGGTTAAACCGAGACGTAGCAATAATCCGTGACGTCACTGACTGTTGAACTGAGCTGCATTAATAGATCCAAACTAATTGGTTGGACTCCAAATGTCAACCATGATCAGCGGTTGGAGATGCCGTGTGATATTGATCGGAATTTGCCACAGTACCAAAAATTCATCCCACCTTTATCTATTGTTTTTCTCGAGTAGTATTCTTAGTGTTCAGTCTATCTTGTTGTTAGTAATACTGCAACTATTCCTACTCTTTTGCAAGTTAGTTATCCTACTAATCTCACCTCAGTGTGCTTAAATGGTATAGCAACTTCAGCCAATGGATATTGTGCCAGGCTCTGCATTGATTGTGAGTGAAGGATATGAATAAGGAACCACATTTGTCTACGATTACCGAACGTTCTATGATTACTTTAGCGTCGTAGGAAGGTTGTCGGACTTCTTATGAGGATAGACTTTTATAGTCCATGAAAAAAAAACTAATCCCACGAGAAAAATGGAACATGATGCCCATAATTTGGTCTTAGTATGCTGCATTTGCATCGAAGTCAAAAACAATTATGTTCTTTCTGATTGTGGTACGTCTTATAGAGTAGAAATAGTTTAACTGAATTTTCTGTAGCTGTTTATAGAATCAAATGGCACACTTATCGCTTTGTTGGAGAATTCATATCTTAATTCTGATTACTTTATAGGTGAAGCACAGTTTTGGCAATAAATGCTCTTTAAGATGTAGTTATAATTATGAGATATATTTTAGTTATTTTATCAACAGGTTTGTGACGTATGACAATCCACAATACAATATCTCTGAGATGCAAAGAATTTATTGATAAAACTTCGTTAAGCATAAACAAAATTTACCATTAGCTTAAAGTGTAAAAGTAGGAAAAATTTTGTTCTGTAACTCACTGAATACTGATTACCACTACAAACCGTTGAGTTTAATTGTTAAAATGCTTTGGGACTCTTATTTATTTATTTAACCAAATAAACATGGGCACAACAAAGCACCAAATACACAAGTGCTATACGAATTCGAATATGTATGGAGGCCAGATACTCATGAGTATGATTTCCTAGACCTAGTTCCGGACTTACCAAGGAGTATCAGAAGTGTCCTGAGTACATGTACAAATGTCCAACCAAAGTTCATCAGCAGTGGGGTTTACTACCACCTCGGATTGAAAACCAATTTGCTAGGATATGTTGAACGTTAGTTGTGTACTATTGATTTTGATAATTTAAGTTTGTATATTAATGTAGATGGACTTTTTATGTCTAAGATCTTAATAATTTTACAAATTGTTCGTATTACAGATGGCCATTTTAACGAGGTTAATGGATAATTATCCTAAAACCTCAATGTGATGTGTTTCATTGTACCTCATAACACCTGAGGTTGCCAGTAATTACTTTGTCAAAACGAGCACTTCAGAAATGCCGATCTTACGGCTGCATACGAAGTAACCTATATCTATTATTTAAACTTCAGGCGCATTGACCGATCGCTTTTTGTCATCATCTTTCAACGAAAAAGGCCTTGCGAAACTGTACAATATCGCGACACAAGGTCATTTTCACGACGTCAGGGACAAATTAGTAAGGCGTAATCGAAGGAAACAAAAACAGGTATGTGCTAATTTAAAGTGATAACTTCCCTACTGCTCTACAGTTACAGTCGACAGTGTCAACGAACATAACCGTAAGTGAAGCTTCAAGTATCTGCCTATGCTAAAGCATGTTATTGATATATCGTTGTAACTTCTTTTGTTCTTTACACTTCAGAATTCACAAGATTTTTTCTCAGTAGACGAACAGGCATGGCTAAAAGAAGTAATCCGTGGAATGTTTTTTTTATTTTCAACTTACTTTTCAATAAACATTATTTTGGAAATGAGCTTACATTCTTAGTTACATGGGGAACCATTTAAGTGTTGAGAAAATGTGTTTGATTTTCTATGAACTTGCAATTTAATAATCATGCACTATTAATAACACATTAGGTGCTTCTTCTTTTGTAGATGTTTTCAAATAACAATGAATTGACAATTGTCATGAAAATGGATAACGATTGATGCTCAAGCTTTTGTCATATTGTTGTATAACAATACGCTTTTCCTTTTCAATGAATTTATTTTAAACATGTACTATTTTTCCCGTGGATTGCAGTTTTAGTGTGGTTTGTTGTGGAAATAAAGGCGAACATAGGAGACCTTTGAGGTTATACCACTGTTGTTTTAAAAGTTGGAGCAAAAGTAGACCATTCGTCGTGTATTTAAGTGGAAAGTAGACAATTGAGCGACATTTAAGAAACAGAACAACAAAAAGGGGAAAATCAGTATCATTTCCCCGGAAAAGCGAAAAAGCAGACATTTTGGTGCGTTTCCTTTTTATTTCTTCTTTGTTCGCCTTTATTTCCCCTTTGTTGGTTGATTGGACAGAAAGCGCACACAATTGTGTGCGTTAACGCACTTACATTTAATAAGCAAAACTATGGGCATCAATTAGCGATAATGCAGTCCTGAGATAAAGATAATTTAGCTATCGGAACAGGATGTAGATAGCACGGTGTTTTGAACCCACTACAGTTTTCTAATTTTGCGCAATGAGAAACTCGACCAGTTGGAATTACGGTCGGAAGAAATCCCCCGGTGAGATGCGTATGAATTCCTAGCTCAATAAGCTTTCGACTGACTGCAACTGCTGAAAGAATAATATATCCAACCAGTCAACAATTTTAAACGAAAGATCGTCTCCATCTTACTGTATTGTTAATATCACAGTTACGTTAGTTAGGAAACTGGCGCGTGGATTTTATATAACTATTTAGCATGCTATCATGTGGCCTCGAAGTTTTCTAAGGACGGATTTCAATAAAGTTAATTAGTATAACGTCTTCACCATACTTTAATCACCTTGCTGATCTAGTCAATCTGACTAAATAGTCAATATGGGACTATGAATTCAGTTGATAACTCAGGTCCAAACTCTATGATGAAAACATCAAATCTAAGCTCCTTGAGGTTGATTCTCACATTTTAGCTAAGTTTAACACT